GGGTGATGAGCTGTGTTGCTTTTATGCCAAACATATCGTTTTGCATTGTGGCCAAAAAGTTCGATTTTGACCAGAGCACCTTCTTCCACATGTTTGGTGTGTCTCCCAGGTGGCTTGTGGCAAACTTTAAACGAGACTTTTTATGGATATCTTTGAGAAATGGCTTTCTTCTTGCCACTCTTCCATAAAGGCCAGATTTGTGCAGTGCACGACTGATTGTTGTCCTATGGACAGACTCTCCCACCTCAGCTGTAGTTATCTGCAGTTCATCCAGAGTGATCATGGGCCTCTTGGCAGCATCTCTGATCAGTCTTCTCCTTGTTTGAGAGGAAAGTTTGGAGGGACGGCCGGGTCTTGGTAGATTTGCAGTGGTCTGATACTCCTTCCATTTCAATATAATTGCTTGCACAGTGCTCCTTGAGATGTTGAAAGGTTGGGAAATCTTTTTGTATCCAAATCCGGCTTTAAACTTCTCCACAACAGTATCTCGGACCTGCCTGGTGTGTTCCTTTGTCTTCATGGTTCTCTCTGCGCTTTAAACAGAACCCTGAGACTATCAAAGAGCAGGTGCATTTATACAGAGACTTGATTACACACAGGTGCATTCTATTTATCCTCATCAGTCATTTAGGACAACATTGGATCATTCAAAGATCCTCACTGAACTTCTGGAGTGAGTTTGCTGCACTGAAAGTAAAGGGGCCGAATAATATTGCACGTCCCACTTTTCAGTTTTTTATTTGTTAAAAAAGTTTAAATTATCCAATAAATTTTGTTCCACTTCACGATTGTGTCCCACTTGTTGTTGATTCATGAATTGATTCAAAAAATTAAAATTTTATATCTTTATGTTTGAAGCCTGAAATGTGGCGAAATGTTGAAAGGTTCAAGGGGGCCGAATACTTTCGCAAGGCACTGTATCTTCTCCACAAATATACAACAATGTGGACTTTTCTTTGTAACCATAGAGAGGTTACAGCCTTTGGAAGTCTGAAGGGGCTAGGAGCACTTATGTTTGTTTTGTTGTATCTTTTTTTTTTTTCTTCCTTCTTTTGGTTACATCAAAACTTCAAAACAATTCAATTGTCACGATATGATACAAGCTTATTTAGGATAAACAATGGCGGGACTTTGATGCACAAATCTTGTCATCCTCCTTTACAAACGCTAAGAGAGGAGTGGCTGTGCTAGTTAAGAACAGCTTAATGTTTTCTAAAGATAAGTGTGTCCGGGATAAAGAAGGAAGGTACATCTTCCTGACTGGACAAAAAGGGGGACAGGCAGTCACTTTCATTAACGTATATAACCCACCAGGGGAAGGAGCTGCCCTTGTTAAAAAAATTATTAATTTATTAGCTACGGAGGCTAAAGGGCTAACTATAATGGGAGGGGACTTCAATTTGATAATGAACCAAAAGAAAGACAAAGAAAGCAAGATAAAACATAAATCAGAGCCAGCAGCCAAGATACTCAGGGCATCTAAGACTGAACTTGGCCTGGTAGATGTCTGGCGAACTTTACACCCACTAGCAACTGGCCCTCGCCGCACAACGCAACCGAGGTGGCGTTGACGCATCATTTTCCTGCAGCCCTGATGGGAGCGACACTGTGCATTTTGAATGCCTATGATCAGTGATTGTGTGTGTCTTTGAAAAAGTAAACCTCATTCTCCCCATGTAACACTTGAATCAGTCTGTGGGGGGCGCTAATGCTGCTATTTCAAAATTCACAATTTCAGGCTACTCAAACCCAAGAGTTGGACTATCAATTCAAATTTTGTGCAAATCGGACTCTGTATGTGCAAACGGAAGTCATTTATGTTGTACAATAGCGCCCCCTACAAATTCAAATGTTTAGTGTTATTCCAAAGATCACCAAAATAATACACTTTTGTGCCTGAAAAAAACTTGTGGCAAAGTTTGGTGAGTTTTTGTGTTTGTTCAGTGGGTCAAATATGAGATCAAACAACAGACAACCTAAATACTTTTATCCCCATGTAAACCTTTACTTAGACTGTAGGGGGCACTAATGGGCCAATGTCATTTTTCACACTGTCATGTGACCTAGGCCCAGGAGTTGAACAACAGAGGCAAGTTTAGTGCTAATGTGCTCCTGTTTGCCCATACAATCTGTGAGTGTGTCCATTGGATAACATGGGAACTTAACGCCTCTCTATGAAAATAACCACACTTTGGGAGTCTGTCACGCGCAGACCGTTTGACTAATTCAAATTCTATATTCAACTAATGATGGTCCATGTGTTGAGACGATGTGGAGCGATTTTCAGACAAATTAGTGAAACGGCCGCGGCTGGTTTGATGTTTGAGCGAGGTGTACTTTTCAGAGATAAAATGATTTTCCCATAGACACAGACAGGGGAGTGCTGGTCGTCGCCACGGCAACAGGGTAAAAAAATAGTCATATGTTGTCTTTGACTTTTTGAATCCAGATGACAAAACAGAATTATGTGAAAAATGTCAAACATTTTGAAAAAACTAAATTGTATCAAGCCAATGCAAAACTTTGACATAGTCTGTAGGGGGCGCTAATGAGCCAATTTAAGTATTTCAACTTTCAAATGGCCCCGACCCTGGAGCTGAACATTGGATACAAATTTTGTGCAAATCAGACTTTGTTTGTGCAAATGGGAGCAAATTTACTTTTGTCAAAAAATGGAAAAAAAAAAATTCACATTTTGCCGCTCCGCTGCTCGGACACCGTTTAATCGATCCAAATTCTGTATTCAATAATTGATGGTACATGTGTTTAGACCATGTGGAGCGATTTTGAGACAAATCGGTGAAACGGCCGAGGAGGAGATCATTTCCAACCGACAAAAAGATGAAAAAGAATCTGTGAAAAAGATCAATTTTCATTTTTCCATTTCCCATTGAAATTAATGAGCTCCCTGTTTGTCAGGGGGCAGAGCCATGATAACTTTTTTTTCATGTCTTGACTTGAGGAACATGTGTACCAAATTTCGTGGCTCTACGACAAACTTGACCTCCGACCCGCTTCCATAGGCGCAATGTAAACTGACTTTTGTAGGGGGCGCTGTTCGGGCATTTTTTTTGTCCCATAAAAATAAACACCAAAAAATTTTATTTTTCGCCTGTTCTGAATTTTGGGCAAAATTTCACAACTTTTCATCAATATTCAGGGGGTCAAATTAAGGTTCAAAGTGCAGAAGAAAAAAGAAAGAAAGAAATAAACCAAGGAATTTTTTTTTTTTTAACTTTGAGCAAAAACAATATAGGTTTCCATAGTAACCTATAATACAAATGATACGTCGTTTTAAAGCGAACGACGAGGTGAATGCAACTACTGATTGGGACGTGCCGACGCGTGCAGGTCACAATCTCCGGGGCTGCGCCCGAGATTGGTGACTTATGACAGTTCAACGAGTAATGCCTGGGGCTTTCGCCCAGGTCATTACTCGTTGGAAAAGCAATAGGCACTTATACCGCCGGTTGGGGCTCGGCCTAATAAAAAGCCGGAAGCCGGGCATCGTAGACGGCCCTGCTGCGCACACCGCGCACCCGATATGGCGCGACCGCGCCATTTTCCCACCTACCCAGATGTGAGCGACACTGTGTAAATTTTACTTTCTATATTAGTGCATTGTGTTTTCTCTTGAGTCAAAAGATATACCTCATTTTCCACCCATGTAACACTTGTATCAGTCTGTAGGGGGCGCTAATGGCTGATATTTCATGATTCACACTTTCAGATTACTCAAACCCAAGAGTTAAACAACATTTCAAATGTGTGCAAATCGGAACTATTGGTAAGTGCCAAACGGAGGCCTTTATGTTGTAAAACACGCCCCCTAAAATTTCAATGGTTTAGTCTTATACCAAAGAACAAATAATACACTTTATGCCTGACTTGTTGCAAAGTTTGGGAGTTTTTATGTTTGTTATGTGGTTCCAAATATGAGATCAAACAAATAAACCCTCTGTATCCCCATTGAACCTTTACTTCATCCTGTAGGGGGCGCTAATGGGCCAATGTCATTGTTCACACCCGACTGTCATTTGACCTTGGCCCAGGCGTTGAACAACCGAGTCAAAAGTTTTGAGTTCAAATCAGAGTTTGTAAATGTGCTCGCTGTTTGCACAAAATACAATCTGTGGGTATAGGTTTGTCCTCCATGGATACCAGGAAGAATTTTCCGCCTCTCTATGAAAATTACTGACTGTACGCCTCTCTGATGAATCTGCGATCCGGCACAGAGACAACGCAAGTACCGAGGACCAAAACCAAGGCTAAGAAGAGCCACGTGCCAGACAAAGCAGGAATTGATATCATCACCCTAAAAAAAAAAATCTAAAATTGATGCTTACTGACTTCAAGACATATCAACACAGATCGGGGAGCTACGTGCGGACTTCGGCAACATTTCAAACGAAATGGCATAGATTCGAAACGACTTGAAAGACATCCGCCAGAACCAGAAGGAGGCAACGGCTAGTATCACAGAAGCACAATCAAGGATATTTCAAGTGGAGGAACGCGAAATAACAAACAGACTGATGTTACAGAAGCTGACAAAAGAACATAAAGAAATGTCTGAAAAATTGGAGTATCTTGAGAATAAATCAAGACAGAACAACGTTCGGATTCACGGAATCAAAGAGGGTCAGGAAGGTGACGACCCAATAAACTTTGTAATCCCTACTTGCAGAGAAACTAGATATCTCACCTGAAATAATCCAGATTGCAGCAGCCCACCGTTCACTCGGCCAGAGACCCACCCGAACAGATGCAGCCCCCCGGTCCCTCATAATCCGGTTCGTTCAGTGGAACACTCGCCAGAAAGTTCTGCATGCAGCGTGGGCAAAAAAGGAGATCGCAATCGGGGAAAACCGCCTGTATTTTCTCGCAGGACTTCTCGAGTAAGATCCAAAAGGAAAGAGGCAGGTACTTCCATATAAGGAAATTGCTGAAGCAGAAGAACGTGAAATCACACATAATATATCCAGCTCGATTAAGAGTTTTCATCGACGGGGCCTCTGAGACGTATGATGGTCCCGAAGAAGCCGCAGCGGGACTCCGAGCGAAAGGGCTTTTTGACCATGGCGACCAGGCAGCACCTCCGGAGCGGCGTACTCCTGTGTCCTCCCATGAGACGCGGAGCACCCTGTGAAGTCTCCCTCCTGGCGCACGAAGAACTCTCCCGGGACCAGCGCAATGAAATTGACGAGAAGGAACCCTGAGGTATGAATTAGCCAACGACTGACGTCAGAAACTTCAAAATTGGGTTTCCCCCGTCTGTCAAAGACAATTAAACTCCTCCCATTCCCAAGCGCACGCTGTACGCAGCTGCGATCCAATAGACTCTGAGTTAAATATGCGTATTCTCTCTCTCTTCCTTCTATAATATTTTGATACTTAGCTATCGACAGAAATTTGTATCCTATTTATATTTGTATTTGTTGTTGTTGATTACATTATTAAAAATCCAGTACAGGCAAAAGAAGAGGATACATAATTTAAAAATATATATATTAGTTATATTATCATTACAGTACTATGATCTTGAACTTAGAAGGGAAAGGAGAAAGGAGAAAACGGGTATACATGACTCAAACTAGTGAAAATATGGGAAAGGGAAAGATTCTTCATAGGGCAAAGGGGTTTATTAAAAAACAAAAAAACAGCAACTCACCTTCTTTACAGTGTGGTAGCATGATAGCTGACCTCACTGCAGCCATGACCATACAATGGCTTATTACTTACAGTGCCTTGCAAAAGTATTCGGCCCCCTTGAACCTTTCAACATTTCGCCACATTTCAGGCTTCAAACATAAAGATATAAATATATTTTTTTTGGTCAAGAATCAACAACAAGTGGGACACAATCGTGAAGTGGAACGAAATTTATTGGATAATTTAAACTTTTTTAACAAATAAAAAACTGAAAAGTGGGGCGTGCAATATTATTCCGCCCCCTTGCGCTAATACTTTGTAGCTCCACCTTATGCTGCAATTACAGCTGCAAGTCGCTTGGGGTATGTCTCTATCAGTTTTGCACATCGAGAGACTGGAATTCTTTCCCATTCTTCCATGCGAAACAGCTCGAGCTCAGTGAGGTTGGATGAAGAGCGTTTGTGAACAGCAGTCTTCAGCTCTTTCCACAGATTCTCGATTGGATTCAGGTCTGGACTTTGACTTGGCCATTCTAACACCTGGATACGTCTATTTGTGAACCATTCCATTGTAGATTTGGCTTTATGTTTTGGATCATTGTCCAGTTGGAATATAAATCTCCGTCCCAGTCTTTTGTAGACTCCAACAGGTTTTCTTCCAGAATGGTCCTGTATTTGGCTCCATCCATCTTCCCATCAATTTTAGCCATCTTCCCTGTCCCTGCTGAAGAAAAGCAGGCCCAAACCATGATGCTGCCACCACCATGTTTGACAGTGGGGATGGTGTGTTCAGGGTGATGAGCTGTGTTGCTTTTATGCCAAACATATCGTTTTGCATTGTGGCCAAAAAGTTCGATTTTGACCAGAGCACCTTCTTCCACATGTTTGGTGTGTCTCCCAGGTGGCTTGTGGCAAACTTTAAACGAGACTTTTTATGGATATCTTTGAGAAATGGCTTTCTTCTTGCCACTCTTCCATAAAGGCCAGATTTGTGCAGTGCACGACTGATTGTTGTCCTATGGACAGACTCTCCCACCTCAGCTGTAGTTATCTGCAGTTCATCCAGAGTGATCATGGGCCTCTTGGCAGCATCTCTGATCAGTCTTCTCCTTGTTTGAGAGGAAAGTTTGGAGGGACGGCCGGGTCTTGGTAGATTTGCAGTGGTCTGATACTCCTTCCATTTCAATATAATTGCTTGCACAGTGCTCCTTGAGATGTTGAAAGGTTGGGAAATCTTTTTGTATCCAAATCCGGCTTTAAACTTCTCCACAACAGTATCTCGGACCTGCCTGGTGTGTTCCTTTGTCTTCATGGTTCTCTCTGCGCTTTAAACAGAACCCTGAGACTATCAAAGAGCAGGTGCATTTATACAGAGACTTGATTACACACAGGTGCATTCTATTTATCATCATCAGTCATTTAGGACAACATTGGATCATTCAAAGATCCTCACTGAACTTCTGGAGTGAGTTTGCTGCACTGAAAGTAAAGGGGCCGAATAATATTGCACGTCCCACTTTTCAGTTTTTTATTTGTTAAAAAAGTTTAAATTATCCAATAAATTTTGTTCCACTTCACGATTGTGTCCCACTTGTTGTTGATTCATGAATTGATTCAAAAAATTAAAATTTTATATCTTTATGTTTGAAGCCTGAAATGTGGCGAAATGTTGAAAGGTTCAAGGGGGCCGAATACTTTCGCAAGGCACTGTATCTTCTCCACAAATATACAACAATGTGGACTTTTCTTTGTAACCATAGAGAGGTTACAGCCTTTGGAAGTCTGAAGGGGCTAGGAGCACTTATGTTTGTTTTGTTGTATCTTTTTTTTTTTTCTTCCTTCTTTTGGTTACATCAAAACTTCAAAACAATTCAATTGTCACGATATGATACAAGCTTATTTAGGATAAACAATGGGGGGACTTTGATGCACAAATCTTGTCATCCTCCTTTACAAACGCTAAGAGAGGAGTGGCTGTGCTAGTTAAGACCAGCTTAATGTTTTCTAAAGATAAGTGTGTCCGGGATAAAGAAGGAAGGTACATCTTCCTGACTGGACAAAAAGGGGGACAGGCAGTCACTTTCATTAACGTATATAACCCACCAGGGGAAGGAGCTGCCCTTGTTAAAAAAATTATTAATTTATTAGCTACGGAGGCTAAAGGGCTAACTATAATGGGAGGGGACTTCAATTTGATAATGAACCAAAAGAAAGACAAAGAAAGCAAGATAAAACATAAATCAGAGCCAGCAGCCAAGATACTCAGGGCATCTAAGACTGAACTTGGCCTGGTAGATGTCTGGCGAACTTTACACCCACTAGCAACTGGCCCTCGCCGCACAACGCAACCGAGGTGGCGTTGACGCATCATTTTCCTGCAGCCCTGATGGGAGCGACACTGTGCATTTTGAATGCCTATGATCAGTGATTGTGTGTGTCTTTGAAAAATAAACCTCATTCTCCCCATGTAACACTTGAATCAGTCTGTGGGGGGCGCTAATGCTGCTATTTCAAAATTCACAATTTCAGGCTACTCAAACCCAAGAGTTGGACTATCAATTCAAATTTTGTGCAAATCGGACTCTGTATGTGCAAACGGAAGTCATTTATGTTGTACAATAGCGCCCCCTACAAATTCAAATGTTTAGTGTTATTCCAAAGATCACCAAAATAATACACTTTGTGCCTGAAAAAAACTTGTGGCAAAGTTTGGTGAGTTTTTGTGTTTGTTCAGTGGGTCAAATATGAGATCAAACAACAGACAACCTAAATACTTTTATCCCCATGTAAACCTTTACTTAGACTGTAGGGGGCACTAATGGGCCAATGTCATTTTTCACACTGTCATGTGACCTAGGCCCAGGAGTTGAACAACAGAGGCAAGTTTAGTGCTAATGTGCTCCTGTTTGCCCATACAATCTGTGAGTGTGTCCATTGGATAACATGGGAACTTAACGCCTCTCTATGAAAATAACCACACTTTGGGAGTCTGTCACGCGCAGACCGTTTGACTAATTCAAATTCTATATTCAACTAATGATGGTCCATGTGTTGAGACGATGTGGAGCGATTTTCAGACAAATTAGTGAAACGGCCGCGGCTGGTTTGATGTTTGAGCGAGGTGTACTTTTCAGAGATAAAATGATTTTCCCATAGACACAGACAGGGGAGTGCTGGTCGTCGCCACGGCAACAGGGTAAAAAATAGTCATATGTTGTCTTTGACTTTTTGAATCCAGATGACAAAACAGAATTATGTGAAAAATGTCAAACATTTTGAAAAAACTAAATTGTATCAAGCCAATGCAAAACTTTGACATAGTCTGTAGGGGGCGCTAATGAGCCAATTTAAGTATTTCAACTTTCAAATGGCCCCGACCCTGGAGCTGAACATTGGATACAAATTTTGTGCAAATCAGACTTTGTTTGTGCAAATGGGAGCAAATTTACTTTTGTCAAAAAATGGAAAAAAAAAATTCACATTTTGCCGCTCCGCTGCTCGGACACCGTTTAATCGATCCAAATTCTGTATTCAATAATTGATGGTACATGTGTTTAGACCATGTGGAGCGATTTTGAGACAAATCGGTGAAACGGCCGAGGAGGAGATCATTTCCAACCGACAAAAAGATGAAAAAGAATCTGTGAAAAAGATCAATTTTCATTTTTCCATTTCCCATTGAAATTAATGAGCTCCCTGTTTGTCAGGGGGCAGAGCCATGATAACTTTTTTTTCATGTCTTGACTTGAGGAACATGTGTACCAAATTTCGTGGCTCTACGACAAACTTGACCTCCGACCCGCTTCCATAGGCGCAATGTAAACTGACTTTTGTAGGGGGCGCTGTTCGGGCATTTTTTTTGTCCCATAAAAATAAACACCAAAAAATTTTATTTTTCGCCTGTTCTGAATTTTGGGCAAAATTTCACAACTTTTCATCAATATTCAGGGGGTCAAATTAAGGTTCAAAGTGCAGAAGAAAAAAGAAAGAAAGAAATAAACCAAGGAATTTTTTTTTTTTAACTTTGAGCAAAAACAATATAGGTTTCCATAGTAACCTATAATACAAATGATACGTCGTTTTAAAGCGAACGACGAGGTGAATGCAACTATTGGGTTCTCAGTGATTGAAGTGCGAGTATTGGGACGGGGCCATAGAGTGTTCAACGAAGTGCTGCAAACTGGAAAATGGCCAGACACCTGGAAGAACTCCATCATAGCTGTTGTTGCAAAGGAAGGGAAAAATCCCAAACATTGTTCATCATATAGGTCCATATCACTACTGAATTCAGATCAAAAAATATTCACAGTTATAAACTAACTAACTGGTTATAAACTAAATCCAAACAAAACTTCTAGAATTGGGCAACAACCTCAACCTACACTTTAAGAACAGGTTCAAACTAAAATGGGGTCCGAAAAAAGTTAAATACCTTGGAATCTCAATTACAAAAAACCTGAAAGATTTATACGAATGCAACTTTAAAGTACTCGAAAACTCGTTAAAACAAGATTTTGCAAGATGGAAAATTTTACCACTTACACTATTTGAAAAAGTAAAAATC